CTTCGCAACATGGTCTTGATGGTAGGAAGACTTAGAGGAACGCACCTTGTCCGGAGTCCATTTTATGCATCATCATTTCCAAAGTTGAACCGTGCACGTGGTACATTCCCAAATGTTTGTCTCTCTGACGAGTTGCTGTATGCTGCTTAGGATGGCGATACTCACTGACGATGCCGGCGAAACGTTTGGGAATGTTCCACGTGCACGGTTCAACTTTGGAAATGATCATGCAGACAATGGACTCCGGACGAGGTGCGTTCCTGCCAATATGACCATGTTGCGAAAACAAGGTCAAACAATCTCTATAAAGTGATTTAGTTAGTTCCTGTCACATGTCAACCTGGGAGCATGGGAGTGTGTCTTTCTTTGTATGTGTGTGTGTCTGTATGTGTTGGCATATGTGCAAAACCAGAAGTAATGGCTCAAAGTAATTGGGACAGCAAAAGTAAGGTCTGTTTTCTCAGCCATCAAAATTGGATGACCACCATCACTCGTCTCTTTTGGCTGATTAGCTTGACATGTCTGTTGAACCAATTCTAACCGGAGGCTGTGGCAATGTACCACGTGCACGGTTCAACTTTGGAAATGATCATGCAGACAATGGACGCCGGATTAGGTACGTTCCTCTAAGTCGTCCTAGCAACATGACCATGTTGCGAAAACAAGATCAAACAACTTCTATGACTGGTTGGCTTGAATTTTGTTGTGACGATGATGATGTTCGTCACATGACGGATGAAAGCTTAGCACCTTTTCACGGGAATCGAAGGAATGCTCCAGTAGAGCCAATCGACAGCTGGTCGAGAGGAATTGGCCGTCGTCTTCTCGTGGAACTGAGCTTCGAATCTCTTCACCGGACACTTTCACTCGAAATGGAGCTAAGCTCAACAATTATGAAATATCCTCATGCGCATACCATTCCATAATGCCATCTCATTAGTCATGGCCCCGCGTACTTTTTTTCTGCATTTGTTCATTTCAAATTCCAATTTGGTGCTGTCACATGCTTGTGGACATTTTTTCTTTTGCTTATGAATACCGTGAAATCACTAGGGCCTGACAAGATTGGCACCAGCCTGAATGGTGTGAGCGAGTATTTTTAGGTTAGCGAGGGCCATCTCTGTATGTTTTTATGTCCTCTCGCAGAAACAACTCAATTACCGTATTTTCCCATGTATAAGCTACCATTTTTTTCCCAAATTTCCAAGCCCAAGTTGTAGGGGGGTGGCATATATAAAGCAGGTACACGTTTTATGCGTGAAAAATGCATAAAATAATAAAGTA